TCCAGGGGAGTGGAGAGACACTGAGGGCTGGGAGCCCAGGGCTGTGGATTCATCACAACAGGAGATATTAAAGGACTGACGACAAGAAGACCTTATTTTGCAAAGGAGACGTTATGCCACCCTGATACGTCTTGACCCATTTCACTGCGGATGTGTGGCCTTCATGAAATAAATCTATATTAATGAATGGCTAGATGACCGTAATCTAATGAAAGAGTTTGAAATGAATTGATGGAATTCAGTAGGGGGTCTTAGAAACTTTCAGAACGAAGAGTGTCCTTAGGCTCGAAACAAATTCTGCAGAACATCTTCTGGAGCTGCAAAACATTTCGCATCATGTAAAAGTACCTGGAAAATGATTGATAACAGGGTTATTTATAAAGGAAAATTATAAAGTTGGAACTGGGGACATTTTGCATCCACTGCAAGTTGGAATAGTTTATTTCAAAATATACTGTACCTCTACCTGCAAAGAGAAACTGTGCTTTTAAACCGTAAGGTGACCAGTGTCCGTTTGTTGCGAGATAATCTAACTGTAATGTCAGAAATATTACATCGTGTTTAAAGGCGTTGTCGTGTATGTAAATGTTTTTTTTAAAAAAAGGAAAGTTAGACACATGAGGCTGAGAGTTAGCTTGCTGTTATTATTTGCAGTACTCCTGTTCTGTGCCAGGCTGTGGATAAATATATGGAAACCCTCCCACAATATTTTCCAATTCAATTCCAATAAAGACCAGCTGCCAGTGACAGATGAGACCTGGAGGATATCGCCATGGCCAGGCAGTTAAAGGGTTCGTAACAGATACCATCAGGAAGTCGCCCAGTGGGTTTATGGGACTTGTAGATCCTGTTAACTAAGGCAGCACGTCTGAGCTCTTCTAATAATTAGTTCCATACACTTATATGGCTCTTATCTGGACACGGCATTTAAAGCTCTTTACAGGTAATGGGGATCCCCTCCACCACCAGTGTGCAGCCCCACCTGGATGATGCTTCAGTCTACTCACACACACCAGCTCAACACCCTGGGATTTTGAATGACCACAGAATGTCAGGACCTCAGTTCTAGGTCTCATCAGAAGGACGGCACCTTTTTACACTATAGTGTCCCCATTGCTATCCTGGGTCACTAGGACCCACACAGACTGCAGGGTGAGCGCCCTCTACAGGCCCCACCAACACCTCTTCCAGCAGCAACCTCATCTTTCCCAGGAGTCTCCCCTCCAGGTACTGACCAGGCTCACGCCTGCTGAGTTCAGGTGCTGCCAGCTGTGAGCTGCAGGGGGATACAGCCACTGGACAGATGCTAAATTATGGGAGCCCCCTCATCACTGATGCTAACCCATGCACAGCAGGCAGCATAAACTAGTAGCTTCTGCCTGCTAAGAGGGAGCATTACAGGGGAACTGTATGGACGGTGCACGATCTTCCCCAGCGAGGACGGAAAACTCACTGGTAAAAGCCAGCTGGACGTCCGCGTCGCTGTGGTAGTGCGGCGACAGCACCATGCACTTGTAGTGTCCGTGATCGGAGCGCCTCACATCCCGCAGTCTCAGGGACACGTTGCCCCGGCCGAGCTCCTCCAGGAACAGCTCGGCTCTTCCCCCGTAGTAGGGGTCCTGGATGTTCACGTTGTACCTGCGGTACTGGTACAAGCAGACCATGGCCTTTCGATCCTCTCGAAACCACCTGACCTCCAGGTCCGTGGCGTTGATGCCTGGCGCGAGGGAACAGGGCAGGACCGTGTCTTTGCCCGCGGCGGCGACAACAGGGGCAGCTGGAGCCACGACCTGAAAGGGCTCTGAAAGAGCAAGAACACACGGCTGGCTGGAGTCACGCAACCCCACTAAACGGGCAAACACACTAAGGGCTGGCTACTGGCAGAATGCAATTCATCTGTCTTGCTAGCGGCTTCATCCAATTCAGGGTCCTGGGGGAGACAGAGCCTATCCCAACCCTGGGAATTCCAGCTGCTGGGAGCCATCCCTGACCTTTAACCCTCCACTGACGCTCCTCTTAATCAGCGGCCTGGAGATCAGTGTCCAGAGTACCTCACTAGAGTAAAATTTGGAGGTAAGAGCTGAGCACAAGTCCTTTGCTTTCCTAGTGAATGATCATTTCATGAAATATAGGAATACGTCTGCCCTCACTGTACCTGATAATGAGAGACAGGCCTGGTGAAGAAACAGCAGAAGCACAAACAGCATTTCTGATTAGTGAGATTCCATGTCTGAGAGAAAGAGAGTCTGACTGGTCTTGCATCATCATCCATGAAACACACGCTCCGATTGGTCAGACATTATCCCTGGAAAAACAAAAAGAGACACTGAGCTGGCAGACTTTGTCACCCCTGAAATGTACATTGTACGGTTTCACAGATCACAGATTTTAACTGCAGAAATGTTGCCTGAATGGTCAGAATACCACCAGAGAAAACAGCACAGCACTGTAGTCACAGCATTTCAAAAACGTGAAAGTGAGATTAAATACGGATTATATGTTCAGTGACAACATCACACAGAAGCTACAGGCTGAAGGGTTTCTCCTAGAGAAACCCTGATATGCATCAGACAGTCCTGGAGTTCATGAGCTCTCCTGGGACCAGCGACTGATACGGCTCTGGATCCGAGAGTACCAAGTTGAAATAATCAATATTAAATCAGAGGTGTTACCTGGATGCTGAGAGTCAGGGGGTGACCTGGGAGACGTGGGGTGTCATGAGGAGCTGGACTGAGGGCAACCCTCTGAGGGTTTGAAACTTTGAGCTTTGCCCTGGGCTGGTTGAGAAGAGAGGATTATGGGAGAGAGTCAGACGCCCTGGGCTGGATGTAAACACTGTCTCACTGACGAGTCATGAAAATGCTACCACAGGATCTGAAATAAGCATTCTAGTCTGATATGTGAGAATCCTTTTGTTATCTGTGCTAATAATCTGTTTAAATGGTCATAACTACTTTTTTAAGTGGTCTCTGCATCTTAATGAACAGAAAAGTGTTCATTTCCATCTGGGTTGTGCCATATTTTATAAACACTATCCGTGTCATTTTAAACAGGCTACAGCTGCCTTGGTAATCCTGTGCTGACGTATTTCCCTGTGAATCTGTTATTACTGTATAACCAAAACACGAACAGACCAGAACAATGGCCCAAACCAGTTCATAAAGACATCTCGGATTTTCCCAGTGGCTACACCGTTGACCCCAGATTCCAGAGGTCAACCTTGAATGGTCGTGACAAATGTGCCCTGACAATTCCCAGTCATAACCCAGTTGTTAAGTTCAGTAATCTTTTAAGTTGGATAACTGGGCGATATCTGTCTCACAAACTTAGAGGACAAGTGGAAACTACAGGGAAGTGCATCTAAAACGGAGAGCACTACTTTACACGTAGGGTGGTGGGAGTGTGGGACAAGTTGCCCAGCCATGCTGCTGAAGCCGATATCTCTGGTGCTTGTGAGACGTCAGGGTGAGACCCTCCAGTTAGGACAGGGGACACTTTTCTACAGCTCTGCTAATGACAGTGTATTCTGGACCCCTTTACATACAGTACATTTGTATGACACCTCAATTTATAATCGTGAGAAATTCACTAATGCTTCAATAATTCTTCTCAAAGAAGAAGAAACCTACATTTCGCAACTCGGTCAATACAGTAGATACTGTATAGAAAAAAATAACATCCCCATTTCAGGCGTTAACTCGTTTAAACAAAACAAGCAAGGAAAGTGAATTAAGTCAAGCCCGAGTCCGATTTTGTCATCTAACGTCGGTGCTTTGATCGAGTTTAATCTGCGTTTTAATGTTAAAAAATGTTGAGTTTAGAATGGGGCCTACAGAGGAAACTCCAGAGATCTATAGAAACGACATCCTAAAAAAACAAACAGCCCTGAGCTGCATTTCACTTTTACTTTTTTTCTTAAAGTGAAAATCTACAAAACGCCACTCACAAGCTGTAAACGTGTGGCACAGTATATTTATCACTTACCACTGCCCTTTAATAAGCCCCAATCTCCATAGCTGGGTCTTTGTCCGACTTTGTTCAGAAAGTACAAGAACCGCTTACTCTGAACACTGCGCAGTTCTGCGAGGAAGCTTGCGTGACGTCAGAGACCCCGCTGCGCTCAGTCAGCTTCTGACAGGAGTACTTTGTTTTCAGTCGGGTCCCCGGCACGCCACTCGCCAGCGAGTTAAATGCTGTATATTTATTCAATGGTAGCCGCCCAGAGCTCACATTAAATCTGTCAGTTGTCAGCACTGTCGACACTTGAGCCTCGCTAACCGTGACTGTAAACTACGAGATGGCCGATTTCCTTTTCCGAAAGGAGCCTGACAGACGGTTTTAGCAACGAATTATTTTGTGCGGGTGTGCCGGACATAATGTACGTCAACCGCCGTGCGTTATTTCTACAGTCGATGTAGTGTACCTCTCCACACGTAGTTACCGAAAACTCAAAAGTCCAAAATTTATAAACGGTTTATACTGATGCCATCGAGTTTTTTTCCGCACTAGATGTTATGAAATTCCTTTACTGTTGCAGTTGAATCTCCCCTTTCGGTTTTTCTCACCCAGTACAGTACGTCTGTGAATCTTAGCTCGACGTTTTGTATTTCTGGCCAGCATGGAGAAAACACGTTTTGCTCACTAATATGTTTTTAATCAACAATTCCTCATCAGTTTCTGGAAATGCATATGCTTTTGTTTCAAATAATAATACAATTATGCTAAATTACAAAAATAAGGTTCAGCACGTGTGAAATAGAAGCTTTTCAGAATATTCTAAACGTGTCTCACACCTCTGTGCCGCCTGAACAGCGCAGTAACGCGCAGGGCCGAGGGTCAGTCTCCAGTCCCGGCGCAGCGACGCGCAGGGCCGAGGGTCAGTCTCCAGTCCCGGCGCAGCGACGCGCAGGGCCGAGGGTCAGTCTCCAGCCCCGGTGCAGGGCCAAGAGTCAGGGTCTGCACTCTGACTGCTGTTGTGGATTGTCCTGAGAGTCATTGTCTAATCTCAGTGTCAGACATTAACTGTGGTATCTAATTATCCCCCCCCCCCCACTATGTTAACTGCTCTTGCACGTATCAATAATTCCGTTTCTGTTCTTTTCACAAAGATATTAATTTGCGTGTGTCTGGGTAACCGAGAGAGCTCCAGTCTAGCTGAAGAGAAACAATGAGTGACCTGATTTCTGTCCAGGGCCTCACGTTTCATGGCAGTACGTACTCAGGAACATGAGCTCCTCCGGCTCAATGCTTGCGTCACACTGCAATGGAATATCAACGCATTTCAATATTCTTCATTGTGAAAACAAAGTTCGTCAAGTTATAAAGTTTAAGCCCTTGGGACACTTTCCACTCTCAGACACCTTTTGACTATATTTGAACTGTAATACTGAGACAGATTGAGAGGCGATGTCCTTTTTTCTTATCCGCTTATACAGGGAAAAAAAATCTGTTTTTCGAGCATCAGCCAAGATCCTGTCACAGACTTGCCTGCAGCGCCTCAGAGCTGCCGCTTGTTGTAAACAAAGGAAAAGTACAATACACATTGTCAAGCGAGAAGATTGAGTTTCTCCTGCTTGCTTACGTGTCCTCTCCAACCTGCTGTCTGGCCCAGTGACCTGCTGGCCTGACCTTGCTCAGGAGCACAAACCCGCAGACAGAAGGGGAAACTCCCTAGAAGTACATCGAAAACGAAGATCAGGAGGCCCTACTTTACACAGAGTTGCCGAATTGCACAACAAGCTGCCCAGCAGTGTTGTTGAAGCTGACTTGGCTTCTCTCATGAGAGCTGGATGAGCTCCTCCACTCGGGACTAGAGGTACTACTTTATACCAAGAGCGGTGGGAGTGTGGAACAAGCTGTCCAGCTGTGTTGTGGAAGCTGATACCCTGACTTCTTTCAAGAAACAGCTGGATGAGATCCTCCAGTCGGGACAGGAGACACTACTTTACACAATGGGTGGTGGGAGTGTGGAACAAGCTGCCCAGCCACATTGTGGAACCCAAGGCCCTGGATTCTTTCAACAGCTGTATGAGGTCCTGAGCTCAGTTCATCTCTAATTACCAAACCGGCTGGATGGGTCAAATGGCCTCTTCCTGTCTCATGTTCTTGTGTTTGGGTGGGGTACTGCGATATGACACCTGTTCTTCCAGCTTCAGGACTGAGGCGGTGTGGGGAGGGTCAGGTGTCTCTCCTATAAGAGCACGGCACCTCCCTCTCCCCAACACAGAACACTCATCTCTACACAGGTAAGAGGGGCTGCAAGATTTTTTACAATTTCCACCTTGAATCCACTTTGTTATAAAATTAAATATTTTCCTTTTGCTCAGTGGTAGTTGTAAAGATGTGCGAGATGAGTTTATCTTAGGTTACCTTTTCGCTTTTAAAATGCAGTAAAGGTTTCATTATTTTAATAGTCTCGCTATCACATCAGTATGGTTTTGCTGGCTGATCAATCATTTGAAAGTGAAGAATTTGTTTTCAAAGCTGGTGTTTACATTTGGAAAGAGCGAGTTTCTCCACGCATACTGAAGCAGTGGACTGCTTCCTAGAAAACTAACGAGTCTTCCTTTCTGAAGTCTTGTTTAATTCTCTTGATGCTGAAAAGAATCACAGCCTGGAATAAAATTGTCAATGCAGTACCA